GTCTAACTTTTCACGAGAATAATTGCTGTTGTTCCAGTAATCTCTGCAAGCTCACACAAAGTAGGGTAGAACATAAATGCAATCACATTTTCTATATTCATAAACCTACAAATTGTATATTTTTATTTAATTCTCGACAATGGCGTTTCCTAAAAAATAATTGATATTTTCATTTAACTCTCATAGACTGAATAATCAAAAAAATGTGTGTTACTCAAATGAATTAACTGCACATTTTTATGTACATTGGTGTAAACAGAGCCAGCCGAGCTACCGATGTAATCAGCGGTTCCAAAAATGTTTCTTCATACTGTTGTGGTAAGTCAGTAAAAAAATTTTCTATTTGGATAAAATATTTCGGATAATCGACTTTTCTCACCTCTTCAAATACCCTCTCTAAGTTAGTAATCACCTTATATAAAATGAGCAAACGCAGCATAAATAAAATTAACTCAACATGATAGAAAGGATAACTCAAGAATGACTGTTTTGCATAGTAGTTATTCATTTCAGTGCAATTTAATGGTCGAAAATATAGTTGATATTTGCATATGAGATTTTTTTTCGTACTATTTATTATTTTATTATTTATTTTATACATTTTTTAAAAGATTTATGATTATGGTGTTTCAATTCGATCTTACCGTACATATATCATAGTATTTAAGTTATATCTACATATTGTCAAGTCATTAGCTAATGATATTGTGGAAAGCAACTACTCTGCTGACTAAACCTCCGTCCAGCATTGAATTACATTATCTGCCAGTAGATACAAAACAAAGCTTATGCCAGGAGGCAAACTGTAGCAGTGAAATTTTTGTCGAAGGTTGATGTAACGGTAATTTGTACAGGTATCCCAATTTATTACACGTAAATATCACGTAACCCCCAAATAAATTTATCCCGTCGCCCCGCTGTACGCTTTAATCCGGTATAACAGTAAGTCTAGTTTTGTTTTTTGCAGCGACCCCAATATCTTCGGCAGCGCTCCCATGAATGCGATGAGTCCGTATACACTGACTGATGATGTAATTACAGAGTTCGGGAAAGTGTAAGCCCTTAAGCCCTGCATGGCCTCCCATAATACGAGAGTGCCGCGCACAATCTCTGCAATTGGCTTTTCTCGTGGCCTGCTCGATAAAACTAGATCTATAGACGAATATAAGGGGGGTGCCCTCCTCCAAATCGAATGAGAGGGCTAGGCGGAGGGTAATAACGGTGATTTTCGGCCTTTTTCTGTTAAATCACGGCGCTATTTTTCACCAGGGACTTTCAGAACACGTACTTCTTGTTGTTGTTTTTTTCGTTTAATATACAGGGTGTCCCACTCAAAACCGAAATACCGTCGCACAGTGAAGTATGTACGTTTTAAATGAGGCTGTGATGCAAAAATTTAACAATAGCAAAATTTACACCTCCAGGATATTTGTGTTATAATAATTGCATACAAGACATGTGTATAAGACACGTACTAAACTGAAGTGTGGTTTTAAAAACTATCCAAAGACTTCATGACATACATAATAGTTTCCCTTCATGGCTGTAACATATTTCATATATTTTTTTAAGTTTTTCTAGTTTAATTATAATATACTTTGAAATGAATTCAATGGGTTCAACTTATGTGGATTTAAAAATGAAAACCCTTAGTTTTCGAAACATTAACCACAGTATTTTAAGAGAAATCATAAACAATTCTCTACTTCTGCGATGTCAGATATTCTGGTTATGCCAAAATAAGTTTTTTGGCGACTTCTTGACTGATACATTTAGTGCTAGGCGTCATTTACTTACAGTTTTTTAAAGATATAAGATATTTCGAAGGGATCTGTTACCAATATATTTTTTTTTGGAATGTAGTAACTATATATACAGGGTAGCCCATCGAAAACGTACCGCAAGGCATTACAGGGTAGTAAAGAACTTTTCGGCAAAATCCAAAAACAGGTCAAATTTGTTTCTGAGGGGGACAACTTTTGGCTCAAAAAGCATACCAAAATCTTCAACCTCCTAAGTGGGGGTGCTATGCTTTTAATTCTCTATACATCGATTCTTACTTTTTGAAAATCGATTCATTATTTTAGAAAATACGCAGCTTTGAAAATACGAACAATATTTTTGACGAGAATCGATTTAATTTTACTTCAAAACTTACGGTATTAGTTAAGTGAATGCTGAAAATGTTGTCCGCCAACTTGCATACAATGATACAGATTGTCTTCAAACCGTTGTCGAACATTCTGGAGCACTTGCGGTGTTACTTCGCGACATACATTAATGATTCGTCCTCGCAGATCTTCCAAGGTATCAGGTCGAGTGCTGTAAACTTTGCTTTTAATGTGCCCCCAGAGAAAGAAATCTAAAGGATTTAAGTCGGGTGACCGAGGGGGCCACTCAATTGCACCTCTTCGTCCTATCCAGCGTCCTGGAAACGTCTCATTTAGGTAATTGCGCACATTGAGCGAGTAATGTGGAGGAGCTCCGTCTTGCTGGAAAATCAGTTCGTGTTCATTGTAAGCAGGGTCGTCCTCTATGATATTTGTTAGAGCTGGGTCGATGACATTTTGTAGTAAATCCAAGTACATATCTCCTGTCAAATTTCCAGGAAGGAAAAAAGGACCTACAATGGAATTTCCAAAAATACCTGCCCATACATTCAACTTCTGGGGGTGTTGAGAGTGTGTCTCTTGGAAAATCCTTGGATTGGTATCAGCCCAGTAACGACAATTATAGCGATTCACTAAACCATTCAAGAAGAACGTACACTCGTCCGAAAAACACACATTAAAGAGGAAATTATCGTTTATCGCTCGTTCAGTAATTATTTCGCAAAATTGCAAACGACGATCAAAATCTACTACTCTACTCTACTTAACCTTAATTAGATTACAACAAAAATTTGTACATATAAAGGATATATTGAATATTATTTAAAATCATTAAAAAAAAATAAAATAAAACTGAAAATCATTAAAAAATAAAAAAGATTAAAATCCTATAGAACACAGGCTGTTACAAATTCGCTTCTCACTACAGGGATCTCGAAAACGGTAAAAGATACAAACTAGCTTAAATGGGGGCAAAGTTGCGCAATCAGGAGACCAACATTATGCTTCTAAAAAATCAAGGCTAACATTAGTTTTCAAAATATTTGAAAAAACCGAAATTTTGGAAATCGGTTTTTGTTTCATTCCAGCCTTGTTTTAGATGATATTGAAAAAAGAACACTTTCTCATGGCAACTTTTTACCCTCAATCGAATGGCATAATCGATTTTTATATGTAACGTTTCGTCTCTCCAAGACTTCATTTTTTGAAATACGTCCCTAGAAATTTTTCTACATTTTTTGCAAGTCGTCATGACTCCTAATACCTACTGTATTGCCTCAGCCCGAATCAGATTCAGACGTTTTGTCTCGAAAAATTCATCTTCAGCATATTCGTTCCAAATTGATCTAAATTTTTTATTGTTTATTGAATTATCGTACACCGTAAGTGTCGTAAGACCCTGCGACCCCTCCTGGGAGCTGTATGACCTTGTCGCTGGTGGAGGGGCTTAAGTAGCTACAGTGAACCCAAGAGCTAAACCGGCGGGAGTTTTATACTCCTGGCAGGGTCACCCAAGCCGGAAAGGTCGAGGGAGAGTAGTGAAAACTAAGAAACAGCTCAGCTACCCAAGCCAAGGTGGAAACGCATCGTGCCGAGGGCTGAATGGTGCGGGGGTAGGTAAAAATGTCGCATCGCAAACGATCTCTTTGGGGAACCTGGCGCACCCCATCGTATTTAGCCTTCCGTCAGGCATGGGGCACTACCTGGCGGTGACTTTTATTTCCTCCAGACTCGTGGGACCTTTATGGACCATAAATCAAAAAAACGGGAACCCGAAAGGGGGCCGTCAACATCCGCCGGGGAAGCAGTAATTGCTGACCAGGCGGAAAATAAAACAGCCACTGGGAAGCAAACACCAGTGACTACTATCTCTAGGGGAGTCGACAGACTGAACCTGGAAGGTAGGAAGAAATTGTCTGGTGCGCAAAAGCGCAAACTTAAAAAACTGCGGAAGGCAGAGGCGGGAAAAGGACAGGGGCCGGTGACGGAACCTGGCTCAAGTACCACTCTAACTCCGCAGGCTGCTGAACCGGGGCCAAGTGGACTCGGGAAGAAACGTGGACGGTCGGACGGTAGTGAGCCGATTTCCGACCGGCCTGTTTCCAAGAGGCCTAAGGCCACGGGACAGCGTGGCAAGACTTACGGGGAGGCGCTGTCGGGGATCCAAGCAGTGGTGGTCCCCCATGGATACCCGGAGGTCCGAATGGATGAGGACCAGATGGGACTTGTCCAGTCGGCGCTTCTGGGGGCCATTGATGGGATCGCGGGCGAGGGTACACGACCGCGCTTCCTGGAGTGTCGTCGAAGGGGGGGAACGCTAGCGATCACCGCCTTCAACGAGGAGAGCCTGCAATGGCTGAAGACGACCACGGCGAGCTTGGTGCCTTGGGAGGGGGCTAGACTCAGCGCTGTTGAGCCTAGGGACCTACCTAAGTTCACTAAGTTCATCGTGTGGATTCCGGGTCATCCTGATGAACCGGAAACCATCATGCGCCGTCTGGAAAACCAGAACGGGGAATTGAGGACGGGGGCCTGGAGGCTAATCAACCGCAAGGTTGAGGAGAAGGGCCAGACCCTAGTCCTCTCAGTAGATGAGATGAGTGTGAAGGTACTTCAGAAGGAGGGCTTCAGACCATTTCTGAACTTCACCAGGGTCCTTTTTAGGAACCTGGAGAAGGGCAGGGTAGATTTGGGACCTTCTGATGAAGATCAGGAGGGACCAAAATCTGTATTATCTGGTCAAATTCCAGGTAATACAAGCGAACATTCAGCACAGTAGAGCGGCATCTGCTGCTCTCTGTGCCAGTGTGGCGCGCGCAAATGCGGATTTAGCTTTGATCCAGGAGCCTTGGGTACATGGATCCCGGATCAGAGGATTGCAGGTAAGTAATGGTGGCTTACTGTATTGTGGCCACCAAACTAGACCTAGAGCTTGTATTTATTACAAGAGTAGTATTAATATTTTTCCTCTTCCAGGGTTCTGCACGGATGACCTGGTGGCGGCCGAAGTGACTTATGTATCGGAGGGAACGCAGAGACAACTGGTAGTTTGCTCAGCGTACCTCCCTTACGATAAGAAAGAATCTCCTCCAACCAGGGAACTGAGGGACCTGGTGGCCTGGTGCGAGAAGGAGAAGAAACAACTCATCGTGGGATGTGATGCTAACTCACACCATACGGTGTGGGGAAGCAGCGATGTCAACGATCGAGGTGAGTCTTTACTAGATTTTCTTTTTAGTTATAATCTAGAGATTTTGAATGTCGGGAACGAGCCCACCTTTGTTATAAAAAATAGAAGTGAAGTCATCGATATAACAGTGGGATCGGGACCGATATGTAATAATATTGCGAGGTGGCATGTGTCGAATGAGCCGTCAATGTCGGATCATAGACATATCCACTTTGAAATTATAACGGATTATAATCCGCAAGTAAGAACCTACAGAGACCCAAAAAGAACTGACTGGGACTCCTATAGAACGGAGTTACAGGCCAGGACTAGGGAAATCTGTACAAAACTAAGGAACACATATGATCTTGAGAGGGCCGTGGAGGAACTCCAAAACGCCGTCACAAGATCATATGAATACAGCTGTCCTATCAAAGTGAGGTCCGATAAGCACACCGTACCCTGGTGGAGCAAGGAACTCACGCAGTTGAGGGGACAGACAAGAAAACTATTTAATAGAGCAAAGCGGACAGGAGAGTGGGAGACTTATAGAGCAACCCTCACTGAGTATAATAAAGAAATTAGAAAAGCGAAGAGAGACTCATGGAGGAAGTTCTGTGAGGATATTGATAGTGTCCCACAGTGTGCTAAACTCCAGAGACTTCTCTCTAAGAACGGACATACGAAACTCGGGTCTCTCAAAGCACCGAGTGGGGAATATACCAAAACTGGAAGGGAGACATTGGAATTACTTCTAAATACTCACTTTCCAGGCTCCAGGTTATTAAATCATGGAGATGAATATGACTGGAATCACCAGCAGAGGGTAACGACCGGGTCTCGACAGAACTGGGAGGTTGCCAAGACGGTGGTGAGTCAGTCACGAATAAGATGGGCAATAAGTTCTTTTGACCCATTTAAATCACCAGGAGCCGATGGAATCCTACCTGTACTGCTACAGCAGGGGGTGGACTGTCTAGCTCCGGTCTTAATTCACGTCTTCAGAGCCAGCATTGCACTTGGTTATATACCGCTGGCATGGAGATCGACGAACGTGGCGTTTATTCCTAAACCAGGGCGTCCATCGTATGCCCAGGCAAAGGCATATCGCCCGATAAGTTTAACATCTTTCCTCCTGAAAACGTTGGAGAGAATAGTTGACAGGCATATAAGGGACGGGGTATTGAGGGCAAATCCTCTGCACAGGTACCAATACGCCTATCAGGCAGGCAGATCAGTCGACACAGCCCTTCATAGCCTAGTCTCTAGGATAGAGAGGGCAATGGACGACAAAGATCTAGCTTTGGCAGCTTTTTTAGATATTGAAGGGGCATTTGACAATACACCTTTCGAATCTATTAATTCGGCAGTTCGCAACAGGGGCCTTGAAGACACTTTGTGTCGTTGGATAGATACCATGTTGAGAAACCGGACAGTAACAGCTACCCTTTCGGGAGAGACATCCAGGTGTAAGGTAGGCCGGGGCTGCCCCCAGGGAGGCGTACTGTCTCCCTTGTTATGGGGATTAGTGGTGGACGGCGCACTGGAGGGCCTTAATCGAAAGGGGTTTTATACACAAGGCTATGCGGATGACTTGGTCGTTCTCATAGTCGGGAAACATAATATTATCGTTTCAGAACTCATGAAAGAGGCTTTGAAATGGATAGATGACTGGTGTAAGGGGCAGGCACTGTCAGTAAACCCTGACAAAACGGTCGTAGTACCCTTCACTAGGAGAAGAAATTTAACTGGACTCTCTGAACCTATAATAGGGGAGAGGGGCATTACATTTTCCAGGGAAGTAAAATATCTAGGAGTGATACTGGATAATAAGCTTACCTGGAATGCGCACTTGGAAAAAGTGGTGAGTAAGGCGAAGCAGACACTGTGTGTATGCCGCCGCCTTATTGGGAAAACCTGGGGACTGAAACCAAAGATGTCACACTGGTTGTATACGTCGATAGTAAGACCCAGGATTCTTTACGGCGCTGTGGTATGGTGGCAGAAAACACAACAGACCACAGCGAAGGAAAAACTGAATAGAATTCAGAGATTGGCCTGTTTAGGTATAACGGGGGCGATGGCATCGACCCCGACAGCTGCACTAGAAGTCATGCTAAATCTGCCACCGCTGCATATAGTGGTGGAGAGAGAAGCGCGGCTAGCAGCATATCGACTCAGGAATAATAATGACTGGAGGGGTGGTTCCCACTCCAGGATCAAAGATACATCTATGTCGGAACCAATTCTTGGGATGGTATCCGACAAGATGGTTCCAAAGTTTCACTTCCACAAGCCATTTGAGACTCGAATAGAGGATCAAAGCGAGTGGGAGGAAAGGTTTAATACCCTGGAAAGGTGGAGCCTAGTATGGTTTACAGATGGCTCCAAAATGACCAGAGGGACGGGTGCAGGAATATATGGACTCAGACCCAGATGGAGTGCAAGCTACAGTCTGGGGGAGTTCCCTACTGTATTCCAAGCAGAAATCTTCGCGATAATGGCGTGTCTGGCAGAGAATGTACGTAGAGGTTATAGACGTAAACTCATATATATATTCTCTGATAGTCAAGCTGCAATTAAAGCTTTAGCCGCACACAAGGTAAGTTCAAAACTGGTGTGGGACTGTTTACAAATGCTGACTGAACTGGCCACCAACAATACAGTCAGACTGTGTTGGGTGCCAGGGCACAAAGGCATTTGTGGAAATGAGAAAGCGGATGAACTTGCTAGGAAGGGATCCGAGACAGTGTTCATTGGCCCGGAGCCCTTCTGTGGCACATCTCCCAGTGTGGTCAGGCGGGCTCTGGGCAAATGGACAGAGACAGAACATAGGAAATACTGGACTTCAAGGCCAGGACATAGCCATTCTAAGGAGCTTATGGAGTATCCTTCGAAGGGAAGAGCGAATGAGCTACTGAGCTTGAATAGAATCCGGCTCAGGAGAGTGACAGGACTCATAACGGGACACTGTCACTTTAGGAAACATCTACATAAGCTAAAGCTTGTAGACAGTCCGGTCTGCCGAGGATGTGAATCGGCGGATGAAACTTCTCTGCATATCCTGGGCGAGTGCCCGGGATTTGCACGTAGCAGAATGGCGCTCCTTGGGAGACCCTATTTGGAACCCAAGGAACTGAGAGAAGTGTCAGCAAGGAAGCTTTTGGACTTTGTAAAAAGGACAAATCTACTTGCTGAATAGGACTAGTAGTGGGACGCACAATAGGCCTAATTAGGCCGCAGTGCTATGGGACTTTTAAAGGACCAACCACTAGATGATGAAGATGAAGATGAAGATGAAGACCCTGCGAAATCCATCTAGTTATTTAAACTATTACCAGTACACATTAAAATAAAAAATTATTAGTTTTATTCACGTGTCCATAGTTATTTATAGGCTTCTCGAGTGCTCACAATTCAAACAAATTCCCATCTATTTTTTTTTCAGGATACTGATACAAATACATCTGACATGCTCTTTCACAGTTGCGGTTACAGATATAATAAATTCCGATAATATCTATTACGCTGATCTTCATTTTCAACCTTTGCCAAAACGAAAATGTTTTTGAACATTTACTGACATTTTTTAAAGAATAATATCCAGTCAAAATTTAGATCAATTTGGAACGAATACACTGAAGATGAAATTTTCGAGACAAAACGTCTGAATCTAGTTCGGGCTGAGGCAGTACAGTATTGGGAGTCATGAAGGCTTGCAAAATATGTAGTAAAATTTCTAGGGTCGTATTTAAAAAAATGAAGTTGATGATGGTCCTGGAGAGACGAAACGTTACATATAAAAATTGATTATGCCATTCGATAGAGTGCAAAAAGTGGAGAAAGTGTTCTTCTTTTTTTCAATATCACCTCAAACAAGGCTGAAATGAAACAAAAACGAATTGAAAATTTCGTTTTTTTTTTTTCAATATATTTTTTCAAATATTTCGAAAACTAATCATGTTATCCTTGATTTTTTAGAGGCATAATGTTGGTCGTGTGATTACGCAACTTTGCCCTCATTTAAGCTACTTCGTACCTCTTACCATTTCCGAGATCCCTGTAGTGAGAAGCGAATTTGTAACAGCCTGTATACTTATTGCATTGAACAAGTAAGATCTCTCAAACAAAGCTGTATGAAATCTTGGTAATTGATGAAAATGGACATGCCTTAGATTAAGATTATGTCTGTCACTACGATAAGAAAGTTTATTCCGTAAATATGGCAGAAAATTGTTTTTGAGTAATTATTGCTAATCTTAAGCCAACCGAGTTCATTATATCTTTGAGTAACATGATCATCTTTTTTCATACCATAAACAAATCTGCAGCGGGAATTTAAAAATTTCTGTAATCGATTTTGGGTAAATTTGTCTAAACAGGAAAAATAAACTATAAAACAATAATTAATAATAGCAATTACTAGAGATTCACACATTTTTTTTACATAATGTATAATTAAGTAAATATCTATTCATATACAACAATTTTAATGCTACATAACATTTTTGTATCAACAAAGAGAAGTGTTTTACAAACCTCAAATCTGTGTCAAACATAAGCCCAGGGTTGTTAATATCGACAACATATCCAATGACCTACCCTCAATGTGCAAATTTAACCTACATGTAATTTCCTGCCGCTTGGTTTTAGAATAGAATAACATAACCGCACATTTGTTTGGATTAAGTTTCAGATTATTGGAATTAGCATATTTAGCTATGGATTCTAAATCTTTGTTTATTTTAATAGAAGCGTTTTCAGTGTCACTGCCAAGAAATTGGAATTGCAAATTTGTATCATCAGCATAAGACAATTAACTTAAAAACTTTAAACCGACAAAACTTTTTAAATTCAAATATAACACCCTTTACTTTTTTGCACCATAGTCAAAGTCAAATTCTCTTTTCACCTTCATTGCAGGGGTTACAGTTTCGATTTTCTCAGATATTTGCGGTTTTCTTACATTCTCAAGAACGTTACTTTAAAAATATCATCAAATGTGCCTTAAATGCAAATATTGGTATTGTTATTATGTGAATAGAGAATTTGATTTACTATAATATGGTGCAAAAAAGTACAGGCTGTACCATCTGTCAAAACTTTTATAAAATGGCGACTATCTCGAAAACGGTTACATTTACATATAGGGAAGTCATACTATTTTTAATTTATCTTAACGATAAGGCAATAATACGTATACAGTGTGAGTCATTAATAATGGTACACAGCTCATTGGCAAATTGTTAACGTCAAAATATAGCGATTGAGCCAAATAAGTCTTAATCAATTGTGGCTCCCTTTCGTTCTACAGGGTGTTAAAGTTGAAAAAATATTTTCGATTTTTTTCTATATTTTAAGTATGTATGAACCGATTGTTTTAAAAATTTGTAGTTTTACGTTTGAGATGGCAAATAAGAATATGCAAATAGTGTTGGGGTCACGTCTAGGGGGCGCTAGTTGTATTGTCCTGTCAATGTAAAAATATGTCTAACTTTTTATATTTTACAATTTTAAATTTTTTAACTAGAAATTGTTGAACTACGTGCATTTCTAAATAAAAAAGGTATACTTGTCGATAAACTCAACTGTTTTCGAATTACAGACATTTTAAGTTTTTGAGGTTCGACGGGAATTAAATTAGAAAATTATTTTTTCCAAAGTAGTAGGCATGGACATAATAAATTGACAGCTGTCACCACAATACCATATTGCTTTCTACTCAATTTGATTAGGAAGTAGTTTTTTCCTTGTCGTTATTTTTTAGAGAAGAGAATATCTTAATAGAAATTTTCCGCATTGTTGGATTGGACGCGGTAGCGAAGTACCTTGGCCTGCACATAGCCCTGTTTTAAATCCGCTGGATTTTTA